TTTCAAGCAACTGCTTACCAAAGAACAGGATCGGCGGACTCCTACATTTGTCATAACTCTGAGAAGTGAAAAATTGAACCACCTGACCGAGATCAAGTTGGACATGCAATTCGTAAACTCAAAAATAACAAGCCTCTTGGCATCGATGGCATTCAACAATTACTGCAGTACGTTCTTGAGGTGCTGAAAAAAAGTATTGTGAGATCTCATATAGGATATCTGGACAGAAGAAAGGATGCCAAAGGAACGGGACCATAGTGTAATATATCTTCTGCACAAGAAGAGGGAGAGGGGCAAAATGAATGTACTAACTACAGGGTTCCTATAAAGTGTTGCCCAATGTTCTCTTTAAGAAACTAATTCCATTCGATGAAAGAAAACTTGAGAATACTCAATCAGGATTTAGAAAAGGCCATTCAACCACCAACCAGATCTTTACTTTGCGGATGATTCTGGAAAAGGGCATGGAATAAAAGCAGACCACTCACCATCTCTACGTCGGCTATAAGTCGGTATATGTATGGCAGTACCGGTAGAGAGGAACTGTACGACGCCCTATAAGTAGAGATGGGCAGTACTCGATTACTTTCATGATTTGAGTAATTTTATTAGGAAAAAGTATCGAGTAGTTTCTGTACTCGGCCTGCCAGCGGCGAGTACTGAGAGTACTCACGCAGCGTCAATCATGATTTAGTTAAGTACAGAAAATACTCGCGCTGTTATATCGAATTACAGAAAGTACTCAGTAGAATTCCTACAAAGAGTACTTTTTATTTTTCAAGTACTCCGTCATTATTATAAAGAGTAAAAATGTTTTCTTTTATTTCCTTCAATAATAGCGGCCATATTCGACCTGACCAACCCCGAGCCCCCATTAATCGATATTAGACTAACCATCATGTCTTGGGGGGCCCTTTTTATAAAAATATACTGTCGGATTTTAGATAGTGCCCCCGGGCATCGAATTTTCATAACTTTTCCGGTTAAATCGATATCAGGGTCGACTATTATGTTTTGGGGGGCGCTTTTTATAAAAATGCTATCGAATTTGAAAATGGGCCCCCCGGGCCTCGAATTTTTTTAAGTTTTTCGATTAAATCGATATCAGGGTCGACTATTATGTTCTGCGGGGCGCTTTTTATGAAAATGATATCGAATTTGAGATTGGGCCCCCCGGGCCCCGACTTTATTTAACTTTTTGGATTAAATCGATATCAGGGTCGACTATTAGGTTTTAGGAGGTGCTTTTAATGAAAATGATACCGAATTTGAGATTGGGCCCCCCGGGCCCCGACTTTTTTTAACTTTTTGGATTAAATCGATATCAGGGTCGACTATTAGGTTATAGGGGGTGCTTTTAATGAAAATGATACCGAATTTGAGATTGGGCGCCCCGGGCCCCGACTTTTTTTAACTTTTTGGATTAAATCGATATCAGGGTCGACTATTAGGTTTTAGGGGGTGCTTTTTATGAAAATGATATCGAATTTGAGATAGGGCCCCCCGGGCCCCGACTTTTTTTAACTTTTTGGATTAAATCGATATCAGGGTCGACTATTAGGTTTTAGGGGGTGCTTTTTATGAAAATGATATCGAATTTGAGATAGGGCCCACCGGGCCCCGACTTTTTTTAACTTTTTGGATTAAATCGATATCAGGGTCGACTATTAGGTTTTAGGGGGTGCTTTTAATGAAAATGATACCGAATTTGAGATTGGGCCCCCCGGACCCCGACATTTTTTAACTTTTTGGATTAAATCAATATCAGGGTCGACTGTTAGGTTTTAACGGGTGCTTTTTATGAAAATGATATCGAATTTGAGATAGGGCCCCCCGGGCCCCGACTTTTTTTAACTTTTTGAATTAAATCGATATCAGGGTCGACTATTATGTTTTGGGGGTCGCTTTTTATGAAAATGCTATCGAATTTAAAAATGGGCCCCTCGGGCCCCGACTTTTTTTAACTTTTTGGATTAAATCGATATCAGGGTCAACTATTAGGTTTTAGGGGGTGCTTTTTATGAAAATACAGTCGGATTTGAGATTGCACCCAGTGGATTCACTTTTTGGAATTAGTCGATATCAGGGCCGTCTATTATGTTTTAGGGGAAGGATTTTATAAAAAAAAAAAAATCCGACATCATTTTCGTAAAAAGTGTTCCCCGAAACCTCATAATCAACATTGATATCGATTAAATCCGAAAGGTCACAAAAAGTCGGGCCCCGGGGGCACTATCTCAAAATGTATGAAAATGATTCGTAATCTGATATCATTTTCATAAAAAGCGCCCTCTAAAATATAATAGTTGACGCTGATATCGATTTAATCCAAAAAGTTAATAAATTTCCAGGCTCGGGGGGCCCAATCTCAAATTCGATATCATTTTCATAAAAAGCACCCCCTAAAACCTAATAGTCGACCCTGATATCGATTTAATCGAAAAACTTAAAAAAGTCGGGGCCCGGGGGGCCCAATCTCAAATTCGATAACATTTTCATAAAAAGCACCCCCTAAAACCTAATAGTCGACCCTGATATCGATTTAATTCAAAAAGTTAAAAAAAGTCGGGGCCCGGGGGGCCCAATCTCAAATTCGATATCATTTTCATAATAAGCACCCCCTAAAACCTAATAGTCGACCCTGATATCGATTTAATCGAAAAACTTAAAAAAGTCGGGGCCCGGGGGGCCCAATCTCGAATTCGATATCATTTTCATAAAAAGCACCCCCTAAAACCTAATAGTCGACCCTGATATCCATTTAATCCAAAAAGTTAAAAAAAGTCGGGGCCCGGGAGGCCCTATCTCAAATTCGATATCATTTTCATAAAAAGCACCCCCTAAAACCTAATAGTCGACCCTGATATCGATTTAATCCAAAAAGTTAAAAAAAGTCGGGGCCCGGGGGGCCCTATCTCAAATTCGATATCATTTTCATAAAAAGCACCCCCTAAAACCTAATAGTCGACCCTGATATCGATTTAATCCAAAAAGTTAAAAAAAGTCGGGGCCCGGGGGGCCCAATCTCAAATTCGATATCATTTTCATAAAAAGCACCCCCTAAAACCTAATAGTCGACCCTGATATCCATTTAATCCAAAAAGTTAAAAAAAGTCGGGGCCCGGGGGGCCCAATCTCAAAATCGATAACATTTTCATAAAAAGCGCCCCGCAGAACATAATAGTCGACCCTGATATCGATTTAATCGAAAAACTTAAAAAAGTAGGGGCCCGGGGGCACTATCTCAAATCCGACAGCATTATCATAAAAGTCAAGTGGTGTAAAAAAGAAAAAAAAAAAAAAATGGTCCCCAAAGTTGATTAAATCCAAAATATTTTAATAATTCTTTATTTTATCGATTTACATTAATATCGATACTATTTTAAAAAACTATACCCCCATAAGATAACAATGGACTTAAACATGGAAGAAATATTAAATATTCTACTCCTGTAATTTTTATAATGAAATACTCGATTACTTTGAAAAGTACTCAGAGTAAAATATTCCCGAGTAGATTTGAAAATAGAAAGTACTCACGAGGCCAGCTGATTACTTTTTGTACTCGTCAATCATGAGGTCGAGTAGTGATTGAAGTACTCGATACTCGAACCGGGCGAGTATTTGAGTAAATTACTCTGTAATTGTACTTTTTACTCAGAGTACAATTTTGCCCATCTCTACCTATAAGAGCTTAAATTTCCAGGAAAACTCATAAGAATTGTAAAGATGACCATGAAAAACTAAAAATGTGCAATCCGTGGGGGGTCAAATCTTCAAAGCATTCGAAACCAGTAGCGGAGTAAGACAAGGAGATGCCCTTGTTTGTTTCCTATTAAATCTGGCATTAGAAATGGTTGTCCGAAATAAAAATTCAGACAACGGGCACTATCTTTATCAGACAGTTGAGCTGTTGGGATATGCCGATGATGACGATGTCAGTACGAGGTCATCGTAACGAGGTCAGAACAGCCATTGAACGAGACGTTGATTTATTTCGAAACATCTGCCAGAGAATTGGGCATCATAGTCAATGAGTAAAAAAACTAAATAAAATCGAGCCGGTGGTGGCGAAGGCTATATCGCATACCCAGACATTGACCCCTATTAGATCCAGAGAGTGGAGGCGTCTGTGTACCTAGTACCCCAGGTGAACTCCAAGAACGATGTATCTCAGGATACCAGAAGATGGAGCAATGCTGCTAATAGATGATCCCACGGTTTATCCAAAAATTTTAAAAGCAAGAACCGATTTCCAACATAATAATTTTAATTATTAATGCAAAATAATTCAATAAAAACAATGATCCATAACATCTACAAGCAAGATGGAAAATGCTACAGTTCCGTTTTAGTAAGGTCGTCGTAATGTAAGCATTACTTTAAATAATCTCTTATTAATAGCTAAGAGCTCAAACCACAACATATCCTTCAAGTAGGAGGAGAGCATAAATATAAGCTTCCTAAACATTACTTTTAGTAAATTCCTTCGGAATTTACTGAGAATCATATGCAACTTTAATAAAAACATACCACAGGTTTGTCCCAACATGAATTATGACTATTAGTAAAAAGAATGCCCGATACAGTTTTTCCTTCTCAACAACCCCATAAATGCGTCGAACAAAAAAACTTTACTGCGAATTAAATTGATGATTTTCTGATAGTTATAACTCATGTTAAAACAGATCTTATAATCATTCAGAAAGGCAATAATGATAAAGTCAATAATTTGAGCAAAAGTAATTGGATGAGACAAAAATATATCGATAGTTTAAAAACATTCCTGAGAAAGGAATTGTTTAAATCAGCATGTAAGAAATACTAATTTAAACTACTGGTATACTCTAATGTGAAAAAATACCATTTGACAAAGAACAATTAAACCAACCAACAACCACAAAAGAACTATTACTTTGTAATTTGTAATTTGACTTAATTAACAGCTGTTAGGAATAAGGAAGAGGTTACCTGTAACTTTTGGTTGGACTAAAACGATAATGGGTAAAAAGGCCAAGGAGTTGAAACAAAGAATTGAAGCAGCTAAGAATCTGCCCAAATGTATGCATTTATTCATATTTTTTGATAAGAGAATTAATAAGAAAAACTATTCATTATAAAATTACAGTCCTTCGTACGTCAGGACGTTACTGCCCCTGGGTTAAGAAACTGATATTTAGCAAGAGAGGGGAGCACCCTGTGGCAAAAGCTATAGCGGGTTTCTTTTTTGGTGCTGTCTTGTCTGCGAGTAAGAAACTTTTTTTAAGTATAAGTCACATTTATTTATTTGAATAGACTAATCAAGATCCCTTGGGCAATTAAAAAAATAATAATTAAATAAATTTCTCAACCTTTACTAATTTACGTTATTAAGTTAACTTTGATTGATTATGAATTCACAATCGTTTGATCTTAACAAAATTAATCATTCTTTCTTGAATCAATGAATCAACAAACAATGTGATATCTTTATTTAGTTTACTTTACTTAGAGTGGGACTGACTCCAACATAATAATGAATATCATAATGCAGTCTGTAGTCAATGTAATAATACATATAAATTAATTTATTATAAAATAATTCTCAAAAAGTAGTTACACTATTAAAGAAATAATGTAATTCTGTTTAACAGTATTTTATCAATTTATCATCAAGGAGTTGGAATTTACACCGCTAACAACTTGTATTCTATCATTAACAATTCTCCTTTTCCTGTCAGTGGGATGTGCCATTTCATCACAGGTATATTTTCATGTTCAATAATTTATATAAATATAGAGTAGACATTTATATATATATATGGTGTACTGTATATTGGTATAAAAAATAAGTAAAAATATATTTGTCAGAATGAATAAAATGTTTTATGTATTTACATTCACATTCTTAAGATCTTAGAACATAGTCAATTTTGAGTTTAATTTTACTTATTTTGTTATTCGCCTATTGACAGTAGTGCAAATGCTTGCTGATAATTCAAGAACAAAATTTGTTAAAACCAATAGAGAATTAACCCTTATGTTATATATACAGCTTTATGTGCACATTCCAAAAGCCAAATCGTTTAGAAATTAGTATAATAATTTCAAAATACAGTGCGATAGTTATATGCAAAATTTCTTGAAGCAGCTTATTTATTTTATAAACAAACTTTGAGGTTTCATATAAGATGGAGTAGTTTATTTATTTTACATGTTGGCAGTAATTTATAAAACCAAAGAGCAGACGGGGTTAAACTTTTAAATCATTTTAGATCTTTAATGGTCACTTTGCTAAAATTTTATCTACCTGCTGTTACCAATTAATTAAGTAGATCATGCAAAAAAAAACACCTGTACTTATAAACCAGTGAAGATTCTTGGGTAGTAAGGACTTTACTGTTTCTTGATCCACAGCTGAGCAAAGAGGTCCAAGAGTTGACAGATGCATGGTACCAGCGGCTGGAGTTTCCAATGGGCCCAGTAAAATTAGTAGAATTTTTTAATTAAAGTTTTGCAGGTTAAAAATTAAAATGTAACATATCGTAAGGTAAATTTTATAAAATATAAACTGTTATATATTTATTTACAAACACACACAGCGTACATATGGCATACATTGCATGGAAGAGAGTCTAGTCTAGTTCTGGTGCCCTTTTCAGGAATTTGGGGGTTCTGAAAAAGGTGATTTTTCTTTTTAGTGCCAGGTTTTTCCCACCTTAAGGTTTTTTTTCTCTTACAAGGGAATGAGGATGGGGAATTGATGTCAGAGTTATAAGCCCCTCAGGGCACTGGGACACAATCTTGTAATTGTCTTACCAAATTATCTTTCATCCGGGTTGCCGGACAATGGTGGTGCTGTGCACACACATTACTTGGCCCGCCTGGCCAACCCACCCCCTTCGAAAGCTTAACCACTGGGTCTCCATGACTCCAAATAAATAATTATTTGGATGAGCCAGGTTGAACTTCAGATTGAGATTTTTTTTTTGTCTTCCCCTTACTAGCCTTTTTTAGGCTATATGGGTTTTTCCCGGGCCAGAGGAGAGGGCGGGGAATTAACACCTGACCCCCTTCCCCTGGCTCCTGGAAACGAACTCGTAATTATTTTATCAAGTTATATTCAGTTTATCAGTTTGCCAGGCCCACGTGTTAGCCCCCTTGTTCATCCCGCCCCCTAAGAAACTGAGAGTTAGGGTGCCCAATTACTGAGGTGGAACCTGGATTAATTTTACTTTAAGTTTAATTTTCCATTAATTTTGGCACTTCTACCTACCCTAAATTAAAGTCAACTGTTCTATAGCAGTATCTTAGATAATATATTTCAAAATAAATATCATTTCATGACATTAACTCATTTCACTGAATGAATTAATACAAAAATAATGAAAAAGAATAGTAACAAACATTTTTATTTCACTTAAATACAATATTTTGCTTAAAAATGTTCTGTCCCCAATTCTTCTACCAAGAGAAAGTGCCCCGTTCATCCCCCTTTAGTTATGACTCTGGAACCTTTTAAACCATTTAAAATATGTAAACAAATCTGGCAATTTTGAACATGCAACCTCATATTGGTCTTAATCATTCCTCATCAAAAACAGAAGAATGAATGAACATATTTTATTTACTAATTTATTTCTTAAAATTTATACATTATGAAAAATGATAATTTAACTTTCTCAAAAAATTCTACAATGTTATTTTTGTTTCAATTCAACAACAAATGATAGTTTTGTTTTGTTTGAATTCCTCATAAAGAGAGGAAAGTTCTGCGCCATGATTTGTATGTACTCAAAGACCTTTTGAGTAGAATTAATTTTTAATAGATTTGATGGCTATCATTCTTGTAAAATAAGAAGTAATGGTCATTATGATGAAGCAATGGGTAGTAGATGGTGAGCAATGGTTTGTTTTCCGTTGCTAGATGGAAAAATTAATATCCCAGAGGTATGTAGGATTATCTAAGGAGATCCATGACTTGTTATTTTTCTTCGGCAAAATTACTTAGCTCCCGCCTTCTGTCCTGAAACATAGAAATTATAATTTTCAAAACCATAGAATATTCGGACCGAAGAAGGATGAGTCAGCTGAAGAATTTTGATGGTTACACAATCCCAATTTGTGGGGCTGTATTTGGTTAATATAATGGAAGCAATTACTCTGTGACAGATAAAATGGACGTATAAAATAGTTGGGCTAAGTATCAAAAGAATTCCTAAAAGGTTAATATGCACTGGTCTAACTGGTGAATATCTGAAGGGTAGACTGAAGTGAAGGTGGGAGGATTGCGTTATGGCTGATCTGACAAAACTGGGTTTTGATGGCAAACGGTGGAAGGAGGTTTGTAAAAACTGAGTCGGCATCAAACCTTTGGGTTCCCTAACCCTTTTGTTATTATTATTATTTTGTAGGATTACTACTTTTATGCATGTTTTCAATATAATCTACTGAAATCTCAAAATAAAAAAAAGTCTTTTCCAAGGACAAGGGCTCCAAGGACTCCTTGATATGGAAGGAGAAAGTGGATTTGAATATTATCAGAATGTAGATGCCTTTAAAGACAAACACCAGGATCTAACATCTCATTTAAGTTGTATAATAAATTTTTTCGTATTTTTTTTTTTTCCTAGTCTGTTATTAATGCCCAGTCTTCATATCATGTGATACAACTAAGAATTATATATAAATTATGAACTAACTAATCATTAACATGTTTTTTGTAGCTGCGGTGTACCTGCCTCTTAACATTTCCTGCATTTTGTGGAAGAGCAGGTCGTGGAGCTTTAAAAGCTCTTGTTATAGCATATGTTATTGCTGGGCCAGTAACAAATCTAACAGCAAACACCAAGGAGGTTATTCGTTCATTTGCATGCACAGTTACTTTAACATATAATCTTACAAAAACACGCTTTGTTCTAATGTTTAAGCCATTTCAAGAAGCATTAATGGGAGTAAAGGTAAAGAAACTATCTCTTAAAAAAATCTTGAGAGAATTACTGAGGCCAATGAAGGATCTAATAAAATATTCTTTTCTAGGTAGATACTAGTGAGATCAAGGAGACCTTAAATTCTGTCAGAGATTTGGCTGTACCGATTGTTAATGAAATAGAAGAAAAAAAAGAAGTAAAAATTCTAAAAGAAGTAAATGATTACATTGATGAACTTCAGGTGATATCTTTATGAAAATTATTTATTGTTCATTCCATATAAATTGGGCTCTTTGCTGCTGTTTTTTCTTGTTCTAATTTAATATTTCTTAAATTTAATATTAATATTCTAATTAATATTTCTTGATCTAATTTAATTCAAAACTCTATCACTATAGAATGAAACAAAGAGATCATGGAAAATTGAATTAAAATACACAAAACCCAACCTCACACGCTTCAAAAAAATTGAAGGAGATTATTTTGCAAAATTGGAACATCGCTGTGAAGGTAAGTAAGTACCTCAATTTCATTAAAATTATATCATTAAACTATATTATCATCTAAATATTATTTTTTGATAGTAAATGTAATAAAACCTAAGTTGATAAAACCTACCACAGTAAAAAAAGAACATATTATAATCTAATAATAATATACAGATATTCATCTATCCGATGGTGTTAATGTTTAACTGAATGTGATTTATTTCTTTTTAAATATGCTTTTAATCAATCACTTATTTCATATGTTTGTAAAGTGAAATAACTTACTTCAGATGTTTTGAGCTTTATAATCAATAACACCAATCCAAACTTCCACATTTTTTAAAAGATAAACACTATTGATAAAATTCGTTATTTAAAATTAAAATGTTTCAATATTCATTGTTGGTAGCAGATTTTTTTTTTTTTAATGTAGGGAGGAACTGCTCCCTGCTATTTATTTTTACTTACATAATCTTTCGAAGACACTTTACTAAAAAATTTTATTTTTTTTCCTCATCACTAATCACAATATTCAACAGTCCTATTCATTGAGGAAATGTAGGTATGTCATAATAGTATAAAACAGAGAAAAGATGGGTACCAATTAAATCTTTCGGTCATGAAATGGTGACATTTTTTTAGGTTTGTCTCTAACAACCTGTGCTTGAACCAATGTATACTTCACTTTTGACAACATTGTGACGTTATCAATAATTAACAAACAATTATTGACTACTTCACAATTTTGTCAATATTGAAGCGTAGGTTTGGTTCAGACACAGATAGCACACTAAGTCTTCTTTGCAAAATTGTCAATTGATCTCTTTTACCTCCAATCTGATGTTTGTTAACTCTTTGATTGCGGATGGGATACAAGCCTTCCTGTTAAGAGTTGGGTCACTGGTGCGGACAGGATATACACCTTCCCGCCTGGACGGTCACCACTTAAACAAGTAGGGACAAGTAGCGCCTTTGACTTCTGGCTTAGTTAGTGCATTGATTAGTCCACTGTAGCTTACTCATTGTGGTCGTTCCGGATACTGGCGATTTGGAAGCTATCAGTTGCAGATTTATTCTGAACTAAAGGTATGTCCTTTCTCTGTTATTTGTGTCATATCTATGATCTTATTTATATTCTATTTAAATGTATTATACATCAAATAAATGTTAATAAGTTAATTTTATAGTTTTTTTTTTTCATTTTGGTTTTGACTGAATGCTAATTTCAGTGCACCTGAATCTCTGTCTACTAAACAAATAAATGTAAGTTTCCTAAATTTTTTATGTATAATGTAATAAATAAATGTCAAAACATAAAAAAATTAAAATGTAATAAAAAAAATTAATAAATGTAAAAATATTCAGAATTAAAATGATACTTTAGTTGTTTTATCATTTTTGCATCCATCTAAAAACAATATATATTTCATATAATATAAAAGTGTTTTAAACTGAAAATAAATGTAAGTGCAATAATTAAATTTATAACTGCGCTATTTTCAATATGGAATTTTTTCAGGTAAGAAAAAAATCTTTAAATACAAAGAAATATATAATTCAAATCCCTCCGTCTGCGTCCTTTTTTTTAAAATAATGTAATTAAATCTTTATGATAATTTTCAGTTATTTTGCTTCTCAGAAATGAGGAAATAGGCAAGAAAGTGAAGAGTTGTAGGATAGCCGCTCTAATTTTTTATTGCTATGTGCGGCCAGGGAGGTATATGTACCGTTTGTTAAAAGTTGAATAAAAAGGTTAAAATGCATTTTTGAAAGCTATGATCTTGCAGGGTGACTCAAAATATCATTTTAAATAAATTGCAAAAAAAAAAAAAAAAATATCCATTTTTCTGGATTTCTTTTTGGATTTCAGGATGCACTATCTGGAAGAAACACGCGAATGAGCTCCCGTAGTCAAAGAGTTAATTTATAGAAAGTAGTTAGTTCAAACCTATGGTAGGCAGTAATAAAAAAAAATACCTAAACCTTATTTTAGATGAATAATATTTTGAAAAGAATATTTTCATATTTTATGTAATAATAAATTTAAATAATAAAAAGCTCACTATTCAGTAACATATATTTTCAAAGGAGTTCTTTCTGCTGCTGATTCAAAATGTAAAAGAGTGTTTAAAAAAGCAGAAGATGGATGCTACGAAACATTACATTGGGCAGTAAGTTACTTGGTTTGCTGGGTGATGAAACTGGATTTTGTCTGCAATGTTGTTGGAAGTAAGGGCACATTTTAATATTTAAATAGTCTATAATAACGAAATGGTAATGTTACTTATAGATATTTATATTGAACAATTAGCATAATTGCTTATATGGATGGTCTTCTTAACCTTTTACTTGTCAAATGTATTTTTCGCATATGGATCTTCGAGGTGTATACATAGGCACCTTAAGATGAGGGTCCAGCTATAACTCATTAACCTAATAACTCATTTCTGCAAGTCGCTGAAGAGCATCCATCAGTAGTTTGTTGACTTTGGCCATTCCTTTAGATAAATTTAATTCCTACATTGGCATCTCATACATACCGCAAACCAAAATCTGTACGTATTTGAGAATTTCTATTTTACTGCTTTATTCATGTAGGGTTTGATGAAGTTTTTTTCATTTCTGTGTTTAGGTTTATTTTTTTTAATATTATAAATAATTACATAAATTTATCTCACATGTATTATGCAATTGTATTATGATATATATAATTAACAATAGTTGAGAATATTTAGAGTAATTCAATGGAGATCTATCAGAATATTACAATAAAGAGGTTGCAATTCATATTTCAATCATTAAGATTTGATGACAGTGAAACAAAGTAGAAACAAAAAAACAAGATGTTTAATAAATTGTCAATAGTGTTATTATTTAGGAGATATGACAATAGATGAAAAGTTGGAAGCAGTTAGAGGGAGAGGGGTATTAAATTTTAAGATGCTTTTTGAAATTTATAACTTTTATGGGTATCTTATAATAAATATTTTTTTTAGGCATTAACATTTAAATTATTACAATTTAATTTAGATTGATACAATGCAAATTTATCATGTTTCTCTGAGATAAATGGCAAGCACCTGTGTGTATGTGAGCAACACTAGTTATGGAGTGTTAATAAATGTTTTATTATACACTGTGTAATATACAGTGTCCAAAAAAAGTATTTGTGCACCTTATGTTTTAGCCAAAAATCTTTTGTATTTATGTTTTAAACACATAATAACTATAGATAACAATTAGAAACTTCAGTTTGCATTAATTGTACAAAAACGTAAAATTTTATAACTCATATTGTATCAAAAATATCAAAATTTTCAAATAGGAAGTGCAAAAAAAATGTTCTTACATTTAACTAACCCAAAGAAAATTTAATAAATATCAATCTCAATTAATTTTAATATTTTGTAGAGTACTCTTTCACGTTTATCACAATACTGAATCTCCTTGGCATCAGTTCCACGAGCCTCTTGGTTCTTGTCCAATTTCTTCCCAAGCTTTTTTAAGATTGTTTATTAAGTCATTCCGAGAGGAATGAGAATATTTTCGGATTTGCAATTCCAGCAGCACCCATTAATTTTCAATTGGATTAAGATCCTGTGATTGTGGGGATGTTTTGAGAATTTTTTGAACACTATACAGCAACCATTGTGTGTGTTTATGGAAGCGTGCTTGGGATCGTTGTCCTGTTGAAAAATACACGTATTCTCCATTCCTAACTTTTACACACTTTTATTTCAATTGCATCGGAATACGTTCACATATTTGTCAGCATTCATAATCCCTTCAATAAAGGCTAGTTCACAAACTACTTTGGCACCCATGCAGCTACATTCCAAGAATTTGCTCCTTCCGTGCTTTACTGTACGTTGTAGATTTTAGAATTCAAATTCCTTTCTTTTTTTCTTCCAAACATTTTTTTATTTCGTCAGATCCTAATATATTATACTTGCATTCATCCAAAAACTATACATTTTCACAAAACTTGTTGGGGTTATTTACATATTCTTAGGCAAACTCCAATATTTTTTTTCTGTTTATTTCGTGTATATAAGGTTTTCCTTCCACTCTGCCTCTTCAGCCATCTTCATTTAGCCAATTCCTCATAGTTTGGGGTATTATAGATTTCCTATAAGCTGACGCAATTTTCTCTCTGGGTAGATATTATTGTTCAATGATCTGGATTTAAATTTTTTTATAATGTATTTCACTGTTTTATAAGGTAGTCTGAACTTTTTTTTCCAATATACTGCAAATCTAAACCCTGTTGAAAATGTTTTACAATGTCTTCTTTAAGATGAGAACTCAATTTTTTGGATGTATGACCCATTGCCAAATAAATATTTTTTAGTACTGAACTAAACAAGCAATTTCTCATGCAGTTTTACCCTTGATCTTCTGGAGTAACGGATTATAAATAGAGCGTTTAAACACTGTTTTAATAACATAAATTATCATATAATAAATATTTGCTCTAGGGTAGGAATACTTTTTTTGTCTACAAATTATTGAAATATGAATGTTATAAAAGTTGTACTAGATTTTAAATTTGGCATTACATAAACTTAACACAAAATGAAGTTTTTAGTTGATATCTGTCGTTATTTAAAGTTAAAAAAATTATAGTGATCAATTTTGTCCAAAAAACAGGGTGTACAAATACTTTTTTTGCCCACTATATATTTAACAGATTTATATATATATATATATATATATTTTTTTTTTTTTTTATGATGTATATTAGATGGTAAGATGATTCATAGAAAGATACATATTATAGGGCAAGAAGTGAATCCTATTAATTGAAAATAGATCTGTAATCAAAGAGACATTTTTTTTATTCCAATCCTTATGTGTTTAAAGACATTTCTACTATTTGAGGTATTCAATGAGTAGTACACTGAAATATTCAATGGTTCAAATAATAAATACACAAATATTTATATCACAAAGTTAGAATACTGTTAGCATATAGACATTCCCAAGGCTAAATTTCACTAAATCAATTAATGGGTCCTTGAAGCTTATTATATTTTCATCTGTAATTCAATTATAGAGGAATAAAGAGAATGATGATACTCTATCTTTCTTCTTGAAATGCTTACATTGCAACACTTTGAAGGAATGAGTAAATTTGCAAACATTTAATCATAAAACTACTAGATTCTAAACATTACATTTACTGAACTTGAATCTTCAAAATGTCACTTCATGAAGTATAAGAGAAATTTTAAAGGAATAAAATTTAATTTGAAAAATATTAGTGTTAGGAGGTGACTCATCATGTAATGCAGCTCGGGAAATATCATCTGGTTTCGGATCAGGATATACATACATGGTTGATTCAAAATCCATGCTGGCAAGTGAATTCAAGACAGCAAGAATACAATATCAGATTCAAAAGCCAAACATAAAAGTATGTTTATTTTTTATTTTTTAATGAATTTTCACAATATTCTCTATATTATTCTAAATACTTAATATAATAGTTCATTATAAAATAAAAAATTTTAGATAGACATCAGAGGAGCAGCAGACACTGCAAAGGCTGTGGTTAAAGAATTTCAACAAAAGAAATCATTTGTAGACAGTATTATAGTTATGGTAAAACGAGTCTTAACCCTTGTTTTTGTAAAAATAATAATCAAGTAAGAATTATAAACTTAATTGATCAATATTTGAGATGATATTAGATATAAGACATTACACTAATTTATAAGTTGTTATTAAATTTCTCTTTTTTTTCCTGGGATCTTGCTTTTAGAGTTTTTTTCTATAGTAATGAGCTTCATCCAAGAACCTTCATCTTGCCATTGGTTCTTCCAGATTTATTATCAAAATATAATGTAATCAAACCATTCCGGATTCAGTCATTAGCACTTTTCTCTCGAATTATTTGAGAACAATAAACTTTTTATGACATAGTCATCTTATCCTTGCAGGTGGAAGAACCTGCCAATTTTTAAATGTCATATTATCCTATATTCATTGTTATTCCTTCTTTTTTAGTAATCCAGCTGTCACACTGAAATCTTGTTTTAAAATCAGTCTACAGTCTGAGCAATATATAAAGTGAGATCAATAAAGTTTTTATGTGCTTTTGTTTTGTCCCTTATCATACATATGGTATTGACTCCTGACTCCTTTGACTTCTTTTGACCCGTCCTTCGAATCAACCTTGTAGAATTATGTCCCTTTCTATAATAACATTATAATTTCCGGTGATCTTAATACCAACCTCCTCACAGATTCCAACAACAAACGCTATTTAGAAAATCTCTTCTTCTCCCTCAACCTTTTTATTGTTCCTTTCGCTCCTACACACCATATTTGCTGGTCTGACACCTGGCTGAACTTGCATATCATCGATTCAGAGCAGAAACTCTTGTCCTGTTCTCAATTACCCGTTCCTTTCCTTTCTTCTCATGATCTCATTCAATTATCGTACGATATCCAAACTCCCACGTTTCTTCCTAAAACCATAACTTTCCACAATCTTGACAACCTCACCCGTGATAAAATCCTACTGGACCTTGAAACCCTAAACTGGAACGATATTTATTCCTGTACCTCTATTGATCATATGGTAGACATCCTCACTTCTAATCTTATCCATATTCTTGACATACATGCTCCTATCAAAACCTCAACCTTTCGTCGCCAACCTGCTCCTTGGATGTGTCAAGAAATCCGCGACATGCAAAAGAGACGTGAGGCAGCCCGTAGACGCTTCAGACGAACTCGACTAGCAGATGACTATCAAGTCTATAGGGTACTCCGTAACTTGACACAAACAACGATCAGGAAAGCGAAATCAAACTTCTTTCACGAAACCTTCTCTTCTGCTCCTGATTCTAAATCAATATGGCTAACCCTTCGTAAACTCTCTCTTTGTAAATCCTCTTCATCACCTTTCTACCCGGTATCACCTGATGAACTAAATTCTTACTTTATATTTTCCACCACCAGCAACAGTTCACCCACCTTTCACCAGTTTTCCTTATCACCCTCATTTAACAGTGATAATTTCTATTTCTCCAACATTTCACTGACCGACCTTATTTCCTCTATAATGAAATCACACACAAACTCCATCAGACTTGATGGGATACCAGTCAAACTGTTAAAATTATGTCTTGCCGAAGTCGTTCCAGTTCTCCTTTTCATCTATAATTTTTCCCTCCAAAACTCAGTTTTTCCAACTGCTTGGAAAAAAGCATTAGTCAGACCTATCAACAAAATTCCCAATCCTACCTCTCCTAAAGACTACCGCCCAATCTCCATTCTTTCTAACCTTTCTAAACCTCTGCAAAGAATAGCTCAATCCCAAATCTCTAAATTCCTTGAAAACTCAAAACTACTCGATCCTCGCCAATCTGGTTTCCGACCTGGCTTCTCCACACAATCTGCCCTACTAAAAATTACCAATGACTTACATACCGCAATGGACGAAAAAATGTTAACTGTGTTAATACTTCTCGACTTTTCCAAAGCTTTTGACTCCTTAGACCACTCTATACTCTATACTAAATTAAAATCTCTATCCTTCTCCAACAGCTCTATCATCTGGTTGCAGTCTTTCCTATCCGACAGTACTCAAGCAGTCAGCATTCCAAACCAAACTCTATCTTCCTTTCTTACACTGTCCTCTGGAGTGGCCCAGGGCTCGAGCATTTCCCCTCTCCTTTTCAATTCCTACATAAATGATCTTTCCAAATCCATCTACCACTGTTCACATCATTTATACACTGATGACACCCAAATATATTTTTCCTTTCATCCTTCTGAGCTACTAGTCGCGTTCACCAATATTCAGGCAGACCTAGATAGGATCATTGCCTGGGCAAGTCTGAATAATTTAAATCAAAATGCGATGAAAACTCAGGCCATCATTATAGGTTCCAGTCCTATTCTTAAATCCATCTCCTTCCTTCCTCCTTTAGTCATCAACGATCATCCTGTCATATTCAGTTCATCCGTTAAAAACCTAGGAATCACCATAGACGAAAACCTCTCCTGGAAACCCCATATTGCCCTCATCTCCCGTAAGTCAATAGGTACCCTTAAGCTATTTCATTGCTCCTGCCACCTACTCCCACAACCCATCCACAAGCTCCTTGTATCCTCTCTCATTTTCCCCCACTTTGACTACGCCTGTATGGTGTACGGAGGCATCCCTATGGTACTCAAGGATAGATTGAAGCGACTCATGAATACGTGCTTAAGATTTGTCTTCGGTACATCAAGGCGATTAATGAGTTAAAGTGGCTCTTTCCTTCTTTCCGCAGACAATATTTCCTCGGATCTTTCCTATTCCAAACAATCAACACTAGACACCCTTCATACATCTACAGTCTCCTACAGTTTAAACCCGTGGTCCACTCCCAGAAAACAAGATCCCGTGTTTCCGACCTTTATATCCCTTCCCATAGAACTAAGACGTTTGAATATTCCTTTATTTCCCGATCCACAGCCTTCTGGAATTCCTTGCCATCTGAAATCCGCCATGCCTCTTCCTTGTTCTCATTTAAATATCATCTCTACCAATTCCTTCTCACATCCCAAAATGATGTTATACAATAAAATAAATATTGTGAAACAGATTTTGATTGAGGTGAATGGTTGATAAAATTTATTGAGTCTTAATTTTAGAAATCAACCCATGCTTATTTAATTTTTTTTTTCTTTTCATTTAAATAATGTTTTTTTTTTATTTCGTTTTTTCTCCAAACTTTATTTTATTTTTACTTGTTTTAATTTAATTTCACTGAATTTCCTTAATATTCTTCTGAATTTCACTGTATATATTCTTTAATATTGATTAATGTAATTTTTGGCCAGATGTAGTTTTTATTTTTTTGTTCATATCTGTTATTCATAAGGGACCTTGTCCCAGAATAAAGTTTACTTTCTATCTGTCTCTCTACATATGCACATTTTCTATTTATATAGAGATATTTGGCTTTCTGGTAGTCAATTGGCACAAGCCTCATCATCCTGCAACAACTTAATGATTTGAAAATACCTTTGTGTGGTGGGTGTTGATGTGGTCACTTCAACTTGAAATATGCCGTTTTTAGCAAATGACAATTTCCATATTTAGCCCAAATGTGTATCGTACCTCAAGCACAACTGTAATACAAGGGATATGAAAAACTTATTTTTTTATAAATTTTATGTTTTACAGTTGACCCTAGAATGTTAGCATATCGACAGCAACACTGCAAAAGCCTATAAGAATAAAAATTTAAAATTTTCAAGAGACGAAAAAATCTGATTTTGTTCTATGAAAATTATATTTTCTGTACAACTTTTTTTGAAGGCCTAAGATAAAGATGAAATGCTCTATGTAACTTATCATATTTCTGACAAATAATCTTTTAGGGCCATTTTCATAAGTTACAGGAATTTACTTCTAGCTTACAGCTTTTTACTTACTTTGAAAAACATATAATAGTTAAGTAAAAGCAATAAAATTGATTGTAGTAACACCCATAACTTTGTTAATAATGATTAAATAATAACAGAAACAAAGTCAGTTTTCAAAATGTAGAGAAACGATACTTCAAATGAAAATTTGTAAAACATTTGACTGGAGAGCAAGTATTTGATCACACAGGTTATTCACTTTTTTTCCCAAACTGTAGAGAAGGCTCAGATAGTGTGCCAGTGCCCTATTTTGGGGTATTCCATGAAAGTTTCACTATTAACGTAATCAACTTCATATAGTTCGTATATTGACATGGTTTGATACATGAATTTTTGATGAGTCCTATGTAATCTACTATTGTGTAAATCACTCGGTTTATGAGCTTCTTGCGATTTTGAAGATTCATTGGTTTGAAAAGATCCTCTTGCATATCAATCATTGTTTCTCATTATCTGGAAATCAGCGGCAATGTAGCTTTTTTTCAGTCCAGCTCATCTTGCAGTTGCCAAGAGGTTTCAATTGTTTTGAAGCAAGCAATAGATAATAAGGGTAGTAACATTAGATAACAAGCGAGGTTTCATCCCGACCAGCTATTTAAGGAGTACCTATATTCCCATCAGTCTCTTCTATGCTACATTCTATGGTGGGCAGGGCTGGCCTCAAGGCATTTGTCCAGAGGTGCTATGCAGGAAGTGCCGGCCAATTATTAGAAATTAAAACAGAGAATACAAAGCTTAAAAGAAAAATTAATTTTAGCCTATTAATAAAGCTAATAATTACTGCTGTTACAGAATAAGAAGAAATCAATTTTCGTTAGTTCCATTAATATTGTTAATATCTGAAAAGAAAAGAAAAATGAGTCAACTTTGTAGGAATCTATTATCAATTAATTCTAAATCTGACTTGCCTACAAGAGATTTGATACAGATATTAAACCCCTTTTCAAATCCATAATTTGGTAAATAATTAATTATAAACAGGAGTCCAAATGATATTAAAGTTGATTAAGTGTAATTTATACTTCCTGGTACTTTCTTGAAATGGCTTCTGAATTATACTCAATCTTTGGTGATAATTATGTGGTTAGATTTTCATCAGGCAATCCAATAATCATTTTTGACACTTTAGTCCATGCCCAAACCATGGTTACATTCTATATTTAAATGACAGCTTTTCACTAAGCATTTCTTATTGTTTTTTTTTTTGTTTTTTTTTTTTTTGGTGAGAATGCAATTTCTATAACCTTCACTGTAAATTACAGGGTTTTACGTCACAACTTGCTAGTTTCTAACTTACAGATTTTTACCAAAGGCCATAGAGAAGAAATGGAACATTGCAAATTTTATTTTGTGGTATCAGAAGATGCATCAGGAAAAGATTGAACAGAGAAGCTCAAAATCTCCTTTTCCATAAAAATTGTTCTTACAGTGTTTTGCAGTGTGTCTGTCTGTTGATATGTTATACATTGTGCAGACATGTTTAGGAAATTTTATCTGGACTTTACTCTAAAGAGTCAGACCAAATTATGTTCCAAGGAGTCATACATATAAATAAAATCAGCATGCATTGAGAAATAGTATAATAGCTAATCAGTTTATAATCATCCCAATTGTAAATATGTGAAAACAAAGAATACAGAAAAAATCTTCTGACACAGAAACACAGGAGTGTTCATAATAAAATAGTCAGTGCCTCAGTTTCCTCAAAGGCAAAGTATCAATAACATAACATTACATAAGTATACATTTCAATATAACATATATTAAGCCATTTGTTTTATATATCATACATTTTAAATAAACTAAAACTGAGTATATGCAAAAATTTTCTTTTATTCAGTGCTCAAAAATACCAAGATGGTTATTTAGCAAATATACAATTTGATAATGTTTATATAACAAAATATTTTCGAAAAATTGATGCCAGAAGAAAGGAAGCAGAAAAGCACACTCTCTTACCATTGAAGAAAATGGAGAAATCAGGATTCATAGACCCTCATAGCCTCAAACTTTTTCCTAAAGAAAAAAGCCATGTTGTAAGCACTAAGCATCTTATACACAGTGATACTAATATTTTAAAGACCAGAAATAACCATATTTAAACCTAAATTTATTTTTTCAGATGGGACAATCAATAAAAATAATCCTCGAAATGGTAACAGCTACCACGATTGTACTAATAGATCGTTTATTTTACGAATCACTTGATCTGATTAGACGTCATGGAAAGATTGAATATCATCAAAGTGGTAAGGTTTTAACTTATTAAAAGTTTCAACTACACATTGATGAATTACTAAAACATTTGTACACTGACTCAGGAAGAATTTACCCACTGAACCCTGACCAGAGAACCAGATCCTCTGCTCACTCTTCCTACTACAACCCCATTTCTGAAACTTTTGGTTTCCCCTCTAGGAAGATTTTGTTTTTTATGTTGGGTTAATATTCTTAGGGTATTATTAATGCAATTAGTGGAAAGATTCAATCTGACAAATGGATTAGCTTATCGTTTTTATTATTCTCTAGTGTCTATTTATATTCATATTAATTATATTATTATTACATTCGTTGATACTACTTTTTTCTTAAATAGAAAAGATCCTTCTATAACAACATATATTCTTGATTTGTCCTTTTAAATATTTAACTTCATTCATATGAAGGCATTTTCACACTTTTAATAGTTTTTTCCCTATGTATAGCTTTATTTTAAAGAAAGGGATAAAATGTGTTTGCTTTGTTCGCAGGTATACATGATCTGATTATAATAGTAGATGGAACTGGAATGATAGCAAATGTTGTAAGATCAGTAATAAAAAATTTTAATTTTCGAAAAAGAATTGAAGAAGACTATACTAATGAATGTAAGTTTAATTTTTAATAGAAATATATTTATTGAACTTTACAACTGTATTAAATAAAATTATAACAAGAAAATTTGAATTGGTCATATGACATGTAAGATGTAAAGAGATAATAATAATTAGAAGGTCCCAAGACCATCTTCTTGTCCGAGAAGGATTGTCAGGAATGAAAGAGGGTACAATGTTTAAAACTAGTGGATTTGGAAGTGCCTAAAGTTTATTATGAATGAACAGGTATATGGATTGGTATAAGTCAATAACATATGGAACGTTAAGGTCATTATGGATAATTTTATTTGCGACCAAGTAGGATTGAATATTTTTGAAAGGGCTTTAGATAGTAAGGATTGAATACAAGAGGAATTTGATGGTTCAGTGGAGCCTCAAAGCTCAAATCTGTAAGTCCAAATAGGCCTTGTTATGGTCAAGTAAATGATTCTTTTATAGTTTATTGGAAGTTCCAGAGCATTTATCAAGTAAGTGTTGAAGTAGCCATAAACATCTTTTAGTTTCTTCTTGTTTTAGTCTTGTATGAGGATTTCAAGAAAGACTTTTGTCTAGATGGAGTTCAAAGTAGCTGATCTGTTTAATATAGATAAGTGGAGTATTATTGAGATATATTATTATCCTCAATTTTCAAGACCATTACTCAAGATTTGTGATATGTGACTGAAGATCTTAATTAATAGGAGGGAATAAAGAAAAGACACCTAAAGAAAATAATAGATGTTAATAGAACAATTAAGGTGTAGTAAAATCTATCAAAACATAATACTGTTCACATAGAAGAGAATTGCAAAGTTAAAATTACGTAAATTAAGGTAATAGATATACATGGATACATTGTTTATATTCATATATTTACTCATTGCATCTTATTCTCTTAATTTATCAACTTAATAATAATTTTATTAATTATTAAATTAATAATAATTAAAAGTAATTTTAACTTTGAAATTATTTTTTATGTGTATTTTGATAGATTTTACTACACCTTAATTTTTCTATTTACATCTTTTTTATATAACTTCATATTCCTTTTCTCTGTTTTCATTTTTATCTCACTTCCTCTTAACAAACTAACACATCAACTTATAGTGCACCTACCTAAACCCTACTTATTTTATGTTTAATAATATATATCAATAGTTAATATTGAAAGATTATTTCTTAATTAAAAAATCATGTTTGTAAATGAGGCAGGTCAACCAAAATGTTTTTATTTTATATTTAATCAAATTAATTTTTATTCTGTTTATAATTAAATTTAAATAATTAACTAAAAAAGTTTTATTTTTATTTCTTTTAGGTTAAAAAATAAAAATAACAGTATCAACATCATTTTCTTGTACATATGGCTTATGTTTATGATATATATTTTTTTCTTGCCTGGTACTAGGCAGAAAAAAAATATATGAAGTTTGTAGCAGTAATAATATGTAAGATACTGAGTAATTATTGTTATTATGTGAGAATATGTACATTCATATTTCTATTACATAATGAAAGTATTAGTAGCAGTATCTTTTACCTCTATGTTGTCTTACTATATAAATGGCTAATAAAAAAGTTTATTTTTACTATCTGTGGTGAGTTGATTAAATAACAAACTTGTTGGTTAAGTCTATGTATTAATTTTACTATCCATCTCTTCAAAAATATTGACAATTATAATCAACATAACTACTTAATTGAGCATATTGGTGGCAAAAATGACACATTATTGTTATCCAGGTCTCCTTTCTACCACTTATTCAATGCCTCCTGTGGACACCAATGGGAACCAATTTTAGTACCCAGTGGTGTATTTATACTCTATTGCATATTAAATTAGGCTTCATTAAATAATTTGCAAAGGCCCTTAATCCAAGATTCTGATACTTTCCAATATAAAATGTAGGATATATTTATTAATAATAATAATAATAATAATAATACTTTATTTATTCTGGGACGAGTCCCTTTAGAATAATACAGGAAGACAGAAATGAGGGCTAAGGAACCTCAGAGATATATAAATAAAAATACAGAGTAACTGAACAGTCTTGGTTAAAAAAATAATATATATATATATATATATATATATTATATATATATATATATATATATAATATATATATATATTATATATATACACATATACATATAAGTTGCTTTCCAATTTTGATCAGTTGATAATAAAAGAGGAAAAAAAAAAATAGATAAACAAAAATTGGAGAACAAATAATGAAGAACGAACTAATAACTTATGTACATATTTTCAGTAGTATCTATTTACGATTTTATGGGGACTGGATGGATAAGAAATGATTGAACAGGCGGGATTTAAAGGTAGGAAGGGTATTAGATTGACGGATATGGGAAGGGATGGAGTTCCATAGAGATGAGGATCGGATAATGAACTTTCGGCGTGGGGCCCTTATGTATAAATCAGAAGACCGGGAACGAGTATTGCGGGAACGAACAGAGGATTTGAATTGAAGGAGCTCGGAGATGTATGAGGGACGGTGGGATTGGATGACTTGAAAGAGGAAGGATGCCAGGAAATACTTACGACGGTAGGAAGGATAAAGCCAATTTAACTCCGCGTAAAGATGGGAAACAGAGGCGTCCCTTGGGATCCCGAAGATGAATCGTACAAAGCAATTTATCAAACGTTTTAGTTTCGCCTCGAGATCCCCAGAGAGGCCCCCATATACCGTACAGCAATAGTCAAAGTGGGGAAAAATTAAGGAAGTGACTAGGAGCCTACGGGTTTCAAAAGGAAATAGGTGACGGGAGTAGTTAAGACGTTTTAGGATGGAAATGGTACGGCGGGAAATATTGGATATATGATTTTTCCAAGAAAGCGTTTGATCAATGGTTATTCCAAGATTTTTTATGGTGGGGTGAAATTTGATGGGGTTATTATGTAGGAACAGAGTTGGAATAGTAGGGACAGTTTTAAGGAGGTGATTGGAGCCTATTAAGATTGCCTTTGTCTTATCCGCATTCAACTTCAGCTTGTTTGTTCTTGCCCAGTCACAAATTCCATCTAAGTCTTCTTGAAGTTTTTCTGTGGCAGATAATAGGTCGGAGGGCGGAAAGGAAAGGTATATTTGGAAATCATCTGCATAGATGTGGTATCGGGAGTGACGGATCTGGAGGGGAAGATCATTGATGTAAATAGCAAACAGAGTAGGAGAGAGAGAGGAACCCTGAGGGACACCACAGGAGAGGGGAAGTGTGTTTGAAGGAGGTTGATCAGGGACTACTACATACTGAGATCGATTGGAAAGGAAGGATTTGAACCAATGCAGGACACTGATGGATAGAGGAAGCAATACCTTGGTAAGTAGGATGTTATGGTCAACTGTATCAAACGCTTTGGAAAAATCTAGAAGGATGAGGATAGTAAGGTTTTGGTGTTCAATGGAGTTTTGTAGGTCATGGATTATTTTAAGGAGAGCAGATTGCGTTGAATAGCCGGGTCGGAAGCCAGATTGGCATGGGTTGATAAAGGAACGCTCCTCTAGGAAGTTTGAGAGCTGATTTTGGACAAGGCGTTCTAGCGGCTTTGAGAGGTTGGATAGGAGAGAAATAGGACGGAAGTCGTGCAGTGAGGTAGGATTGGCAATTTTATTCAAAGGTCGGACTAGGGCTGTTTTCCAGGAGGATGGGAATATGGAGTTCTGCAGTGAAAAATTGTAGATATGATAAAGAACAGGAATAAGGTCAGGAAGGGTGGATTTTATTAGTTTTACAGGAATATTGTCGGGACCATAATCATTGGTGTGGGATTTTAGGATGGTGGAAAGTAATTCATCATAGGACACGTGGGAGAAAAAGAAGTCTTCAGGATTGAATTTGTGATGTTTAATGTCGAAAGTATGAGAGGAAGAGTCAGTAAAGGATAAGAAATGGTTATTGAGATCATCTGGAGAAAGATCGAAGGAACTACGATTAATGGACTCTGGTAGGGATAGGTTGCAGAGTATTTTCCATTTAGATTTGGGGTCGGGAGCATTGGACAGGGCATTATGGAAGTAGGTGGTTTTAGCAAGACGGACTGCGGATTGGGTCCCATTGCGAAGCGCCTTGAAAGACACATAATCCACAGCTAGACGGGTTCGACGGTATTTGCGCCTTGCTGCATCTCTTCCCCTCATCATTTCCTTTATCTCACGGGTCAGCCAAGACGCAGTGGGACGGCGTAAGGTTTTGGTTTTCAGAGGAGCGTGGATTTCTAATATAGATTGTAGGTTCGAGGTCAGGGTGGATACCATAGGATCAATGGAGTTGTAGGAATATATGGTGTCCCATTGCTGAGAATTAAGGTCTGGTTGAAGGGATTCATAGGAAAGAAGGTTTAAATTGCGGTATGAAACTATTTTGGGAGTGAAGGATTTTACAGGTAGGTCGTATGTAATTTGGATCAGGTCATGTGATGAAAGAAATGGAACTGGGTGTTGAGAAGAAGAAAGGATTTTGATGGGGGAGTCAGAGATATAAAGATCTAACCAAGTATCGGAAAATTGCGTGTGGTGGGTAGGAGAATAAGGAACAAGATGAAGATTAAGGGAAAACAACAGGTCGGTAAGGAAAATTTTTTCGGGAGATTGTGAAAGCATGTTCACGTTAAAATCACCGGTAATAATAATATTGGTGTAGTTGGAGACCAGGTTAATGAGGGAAGATTCAAAGAGGTTGTCAAATGGAACACGAGGAGGGCGGTAAATTACGGCATACAACAGAGGAGAGGAAAGCGAGGTGATTTCAACGAACATGTATTCTATGTGAGGAAAATCATGATAAGGAGACTGTAGAAGGATTTTGGCCTTAAGGCTGTCATGGATATATAATCCGACGCCACCTCCCGTGCGATGCGATCTATCGTGACGTAGGAACGAGTAATCTGGTAAGGAAATCTGGGAGGATGGGATAAAAGGTTTTAGCCAGGTTTCAGATATTGCTATTATATGGTAAAAATTGTCAAGGAAATATTTCTGGAATTCATCGTAGTGTGCAATAAGGGATTGGGCGTTGATGTGACAGGAATTCAGAATATTAGTCATTATAGTAGAGTTGGGAAGCAGAGGTTTGGTGAAAAGGATCGAAGATAAAGGATAGGATATAACATTTTTTTTAAACAAATACTCCGTTTAAAAATAATAATAAAAAATATTAAAAAATTGCATACATAAAATAAAAGTTGAGATGAAAGTAATGAATTTCCAATATTTCGAAATAAATATTCTGTTAAATATAATTTATAGCATATAAATTCCCCTGTCTGTAAAATATAAATATCCCCTTGTTTTAAATACATTGATACATTTTGGTAAATAACCAAATAAAGTTGTAAATAATTTATACAAGAATAAAGAGTGCTAAAAGTAAAAAAGATTAAAATCAAATTATTTCTGTCGAGAATAAAAGTATACAAAAATAAAAAAAGCTTCGATAAAAATAAAAAAATTAAAAAAGATACATTTCTATAAAAATAAAACAACCTGAAGATAAAAAGAATAAAGTAAACATATTTCTGGCGAAAATAAATGTATACAAAAATAATAAAAAGCTTCAATATAAATAAAAAAATAAAAAAGTTACATTCATATGAAAATAAAAAAACCTGAAGATAAAAAAAAAATAAAGTAAAAATATTTCTGGCGAAAATAAATGTATAAAAAAATAAAAAAAGCTTCAGTATAAATAAAAAAATAAAAAAAGCTACATTTATATTAAAGTAAAAAAACCTGAAGATAAAAAAAAATAAAGTAAAATTATTTCTGGCGAGAAAAAATATATCAAATGCAAACTCAGAGTAACTTGTGAGCAACGTTCAGCTGAATACGTCAAGGTCACTCGGTTTTCCTATTATCACCGGTGGGTATCCATCTGACTCTCTGCAGCGAATTTTTCCTCCACTGAACCAAACATATTTTATTTTAGCAGTTAATTTCTTCTGCCTGGCTAACCAATAGAGGTGCTTGTTGGTGGGCGTCATGGCTTCACTTACATATACGCGGTGCGAGTCATTCTCACTCCAGCCTAGATGTCGTGTGGAGAAATCTCTCTTAGTTCTTCGCTGCCGCACTAACTCATCTTTCACCGTCTGTCTAACAAATCTTGCAATAATTGGGCCTGGTGTTCCTTCCTGCTTGGGCTTAAGTCTTACGGCGTGATCAAGATCTTCCGGACTCAGCTTGACGCCCAGACCCGCTCCGATGCTAAGAATTGTGCCAGTTACAGTTTCACCTGGCTTCTCCGGAATGCCTCTTATTTCAATCGTATTTTTGAGTTGACTTTGTTCTGTAAAATTTAGTCGGATTTCAAGCTCTGATATTTTTGTTTTGAGTTTGTTGTTTTCAATTGTCAAATTTTCAACATGGGTTTTCTGATCCTCTAAGAGTGTTTCTATTTTTAACAGACGGTCCATGTTCTCAAATGAGAGTTCCGACTGCTTCTGTAGGGCTTCTTTTATCTCCTTCAGTTCGTCTATCCCTTGAAGTTTGGACTTCAATTCCCTGACCTCCTCGGTGAGCCCTCTCAGTAGGTCAAGTATACTACTAGACTCAGCAGCTGGCAACGTACCCGATAATAATTCGCAATCGCTACATCTCCATTTTTTGCTGGTCTCTTTTAGGCCTTCTAAGTCTGTAGAACCAATTTTTGTACATTTCACGTGAAATAGGTTTTGACACGTGACACAAACTATTTTAGTTTTGTCTTCTTGGCTTACTGTTTTAGAACACAGTTTGCAATTAACCATATTGATTAGAAAAAAAAATAATGATAAAATTAAAATAAATCACTATTGCTTTGTACAGTCGAAAGTAGATGAAAACAATAATATTGTCAGAGACACACCTGTTTGTTTGGGTGGAAGCTGGTAGGATTGATTAAACCAAAACCAATGAAAATATTAGTTCAAAATTTAGGATGATCGCACCAGTTATAGACAGGGAGCCCAGTGATGAACAGGTTTTACTTTAAATGTATTTATTTATTTAAATGTAAATAAATAGTGCAAACAGGTTTTTTTTTTTTTTTAAATGGAGACAGTGATAGAAAAAAGTATTTGCACAACACGTTTTTATGAATAAAGTAGTTCAAGGAAACAAAAAACTTCGCTTTCCTTTGCAAAAATGAAGAGTAAATTTATTAAAAACTGAAAAAACCTTTTTACAAAAAATAAAAACACTTCATAATCAATCAAAATAATTAAAAGTATTTGAAAAAAAGTGTTTGGAAGAGAGAATTTCCATTAGAGAATAGAAAAAAGTATTTGCATACTTCCACATTTACAAGTTTATTTTAAATTTTAATAGTTTTAATATTTTGTAAATAGGCCATTTGCATCAATAATTGCTTGTAGACGTCTGGGCATTGAATGCACTAGGTTTAATTCTACGTTTATTGGTTGCCATTGTTGGTACTGATTCTGGATTCCCATTTTTTCGGCACTAACACACAAATTACGTTGCAAAATGTCCACATAGCATTCCGCATTTAAAATGCATTCGATGCTCACAAGATTTCCCAGGCCATAGTAGGAAACAGACCCCCAAACCATAACATGTCCTCCACCATGCTTTACAGTTTTTAAAACATTTTGCTTCTTTAGGACTTCATTACGATGTCACCATATCGTCCTTCAACCATCTGAACCAAACAAATTAAATTTTCTTTCGTCAGAAAATATGACATTTTCCCAAAAGCTTAAGGGTTTCTGTACGTACTCCCTAGCAAAAGCAAGGCGCCATACGGCAGTATGGCTCTACCATGGAGCCCTTCCGAATTCAGGGCATATCTAATTGTTCTGCTAGTAATCTGAACTCCAGACATTGATTGGACCATGGTAGCCAGCTCCCGAGAACTTATTAGAGGATTTTTAAGAGCTTCTTTTTTGATTTTCCTCTTCAGCCTGGGAGTTAACTTTTTCTAAGGCCCTTTACACTCACTGTTTTCAGTTGAACCACGTTCTTCAAACCTTTTTATGACTTATCTCACTGTAGAAAAATTCAATCCTAAGAAATCGGTAATTTGGCGATATGTTTTTTGCTGACTCCTCAGTAAAACAATTTGTTTGTGAGTTGCGGCACACACTTCACTTGTCTTTGGCATGACAATTGTCTATTGACTAAAGGAAACTGATTGAAAGACTAGAGAATACTGGTAATAAACGATTAGATATAAATTAGTAAACAAACCTATGACCTATGGACACAGGAGGATTAATGCCAAAGTAAACAGAGCTTGTGGGTCATAGTGTGCAAATACTTTTTTTCAAGCACTTTTATTGTTTTAATTTTTTTGTTTCATTATGGAGTGTTGTCATTTTTTTGAAAAGGTTTTTCTCAGTTTTTAACAAATGTACTTTTCATTTTTGCAGAGGAAAGGGAAGTTTTTTGGTTCCTTGAACTCATTTATTCATAAAAACATGATGTGCAAATACTTTTTTCCATCACTGTATCTGCATAACTGTCTATAGTGTTAAATAGACAAAGGAGGCCCTAAAGATTCTAAATGTCTAACGGATAAGTTTATAACTATAATAATTATGACAGCATAAGCCAAAAAATACAAAATTTCCTTAGCTATGTCCATCACTAGTGTACTTAAGCTACCTGCTTTGTAAAACCTTAAAGCAGTCTTCATTGGTGTCTTGGAAATAACAGAACTGTAAGTTATAAAGCATTAACTGAAACTATGCTTGGAAGGTATGCATGGATGACAGAATGCCCCTTAAAGATAATGTTACATGGTAACTTGGATCAATACATGAATAATAAGGGTGTCTATTCAGAATAGAAAGGAGAACTTCATCAAGATGTGATATATTTTGAACAACTTTATCTGAAGGAGTACTTTGAAGGTATAGTGGGAGATTACGTACGGAGTTTTATAAGAAAAAAATCATACAAACATATTAGAAATACAACAAATATTCATTTTTGAATTTTATTTATAATTAATCATTTTTTTTAATAGAACATATTTAAATATGTAACTAAAATTTATTGAATTATTATTCGCAATAAAATCTGGGAAAATAGATGATTTTAATATTCATAAACCCAAATATTATTTTAATTTTTACATTAACAAACTTTTCATGGTTGTGTTTAATAAATTAAAATGTACCAAATTTGAACCTCGACTCAAATTTTGTGTTGATCCAGTATAATATGCAAAATCTACTGGTGTAAAATTTTATTTTAATTTCAGTCTGTCTTCCTAAACCAAGATATCCTGAATGGTCTATTACCAAAAAAATATATGGCACTTATACCATCATTTTTGTAATGATAATAATAGAAGGGTACATTCAGCGCGTTAGAAGAATGATATGTGCTTTCTTTTATCCAAAGGCAAGCTAATACCTTTAAATTTAAATTATATGCTATAATTATATGCATAAGTAATAACAAATAAAATGATTTTAGAGGGAGAAAAAGCGAGTTCTTTATTTATACAATGAAACATTAAAACAAAGGAAAGGCTTCTATAAATACATGAAAAAAAAAGTAAGAAGAATAATGAGAGAAAATAAACTCACAGTAAGTGTTTTTTTATGAAATAATTACGAAAAAGTTACGATTAGAAGGAAGTTTCGATTACAGATGTAAAAATTTTACAATTTTTTTTTTCATTTGTGTTAAAGCAGCAATGATTGGATAAAACTTAGCATGCCCTATGGTATATTACGAATGATTATATTCACCAGTAATTTACTTGCAACCAGAAAAAAATTGTTAAATTTTAATAACTATGTGTTTAGGATAGTGATATGGCTAAATATAATATATATGATAAATAATAATTATATTGTATAGGCTATCAACAAAAAACAGAATATTGAAGGTAATTGTACTCCCTTGGGGAAATATGTGTGTTATTTGTTTGACAAAATGGTAGCTTCAATATCATATTGACAAAATTCTTGTCAAGATTATAAAGGAAACAGGAAAACAACTTGAGAATTTTACAAAGAAGTAAAGGTACCCATAAGTATAAGAAGTGAAAGAATCCACAGCCATGCCCCCCCCCAAAAAAAAAAATCATCCTATAATTATGTTATCTTATTTTTAAAAAAATGTTATTGCACTTTTTAATATGCTGATTATTTATGCGATTATGTAAAATTGTTATTTTAAAACTCAATTACAACCATTTTTAATTTAGAATTTCAATTTTTTTTAATTTTTCTGTCAAGTTTATACCAACTGAAATTTAATTTTTAGCTCATAGATAAGTTGTGCCCCATACATGTTATGTTAGATTATTATTTCACCAGAATGAGATTTAAACAATAACTGATTTTGTTCTCTAATAGCAAGATATCAGTTACCTCCTTATGCTGCGTTTAAAGTTTCCAAATTTATTTGGTTGGCTAAAGTGGTTTGAAAATGCCAAAAGGAAATGTCTTATCTGTGGAGAAAATGAAAAAAAATCAAGAGAGCAATATGAGTGTCCTGTATGTCTTTATATTTACTGCCTAGAGTGCTGGAATGACATCGATAAAACATGTTACGCCTGCAATCCTCCTTCAACTGATGAAGAAGCATCTGATGAAGATCCTCAACCAGCTGAGCGCTAAACCGTAATCCATTCATATGCTTAATATTTCTTATATTAATGATCCTCTACTAAGTATTTGTTATTTAGAATAAAGTTGTTTTAAAATATAACTTTAATTTCATTCATATCCGTATTCTGATTTTCCTGCTCATTCAGTGTTTGGTAAAGTTAAGCTGGACTATCTAAAGAAAAAAATAATCTATTTTTTCCTCAGTAATGTAAGTATCAGTAACTAATATCAACTAAAATAATTGAGTTTTCATTATAATACACTAATTTTTGTTTAGAAAATGTGAAAACAAAAATAATTATTGGATATTTCAGATTTATTAAAGTTTTAATTTTACCAAGCATTGACTAATATTTCCAAACAGTCAGCTGTAGCATTTATCATAGTAATTCATCTAAACCTTATTCAAAATTTTCATTCCGGGATATATTATGTAAAACCTGATCAAGCAGCAAAACTGCTCTTCCTAACTATAAAAAAAAAAAAAAAACCTAACCTTAACATCTTAACTTTTGCTTCTCTATATTTTCCCAGAAAACTGAGACTTACAATGTTGCCATATTATTGGGAAGATATTTCGTCGATGTTTACGCTGTATCATCATTGGTAGGAATCCCCCGATTCTATGCCCCAAGAGGAAGAATTTGATTGTGAGCTGATGAATATCGATAATGGAGAACTTGGTGATCAACAGCTTACAGTCAGTTTTAATTAATCCATCCACCACAGATTGACCAAAAATAGGGGAACCATCATCGTCATGTAGTGAGTAGGGTATGATGTAGTGGAAAAGTGGAGAGATAAGCCGTGAGGCTCCTCTTTGTATCCTCCAGCTATGATTGTATGTCTAGCCAAGTGTTCTGCAGTAGCTGTAGAAGTTCCAGGCTCATAGCAACCTGTAGCTCTAGTGATGTAGGCATCAGATTAGTCCAAAACAAGAGGTCTAGCTTGCAAAAGGTCTGGTAGTTCAAATTTATTTCTTATATTAAGAGAGAAGATTACGGCATCGCTCTGGGGCACGGAATGTCTTAGGCTGGCACTGACTGTATCTTTATATCCCTAGAAGATATCTCATGTCTTATGCATCACTTCTGGAGATAGTTTCTTAACCCAGTCAAATTAGTCATGTTGCCTTGCATAAAGTTGGGTAATTCAAATTTATTAATATTGGTAAGTATGTATTGAATATAAAGAATCCAAGTTTCCGCTCTTGAAAGCCACGTGATCTCTCTCTCTCTCTGCTCCAAAAACCATTGAAATTTTGAATTTTTTTTTTTAAAATATAAATATCTCATTTTTAAAGCGACATAGATAAAAATATTTACATTCAATATTAACAGCTTAAAATTATCTAAAATATTTTTACATTACATTTTTTTCTAAAGCCAACAGGTAGTGAACTGTCAAGCTTTCGAAATGGGTAAAGATTTGAAAATTCGCAAAAAATAAGCATAATTTTTTGTTTATAATTAACTATCTGTTTTTATATGTGACATGGCTCAAATTTAATATTAAAGCACACACCATTTATTATACTTCTTTTTTCTTTTTTCTGGGAAGTTGTCTAATATTCTTAGTTATTTGGCAATAATTACTTCCAATTAGCAACAAATGAATATATTTCTTGTATTATCAACGTTATATGTTAACAAGTTTACGTTTCAGGATATTTACTCACTTCTTCAGGACTACAATCCTAATGATCTTGTGGATGCAAGGATAAAATTTTTATTAGTAATATTAGTTGGTAATATGTTGTGAAATTCTGGTCCCTAATTGCTTGGATGTTTCACCAATGTAGATTTTGGGGGCAGTTTTGACAATTTAATTTATATATTACATTTTCCTTGTTTATTGGGTCTAATTTATCTATTGGTGATGTGCCTGCTCAGTTTCTTATTATTATATTGTCCGAGTTTAATTTCTGTTAAGTCATAATTCATGACATGCCATAAGTCATAAGTCATACCAACTGTAAAAATACAAAAAACACAACAGCTTTAGCACATCACAGTATAAGATTACAGCATAAATTTAACTTCAATAAACCACAGATAATAGGCAAAGAACCAAAAAACATCAATAGGAAATTACTTGAAGCAATACACATCACAAAAAACAATAGAACAACAGTAAATTATAAAACAGACACTAAACAATTAGGAACTCATTATACGGACATACTAAACAAAATCAAAATTTAATGGAAATGAAATCGCAGAAACATAAAATAAACGTTAACAACAATAGTGTAAAAATAGTCAGATAAAACAGTCAGATCCAAAGTTCAATTGTATTTCACTATGGCAGACACCCAATTATTGGTCTAAAGCAAGATATTGCTCTAGATGATATATTTTATAACATGAACTAGGAATTTGAGGATGGAGCTCATTACTATTATTTTTAAGGTAATTAAAAATTTATTGTAACAACAAAATTCTAACATGTAATGTAACATGCACCATATTTTAACTAAAAAAAAAATTTTTAGCCTTGCATCCACAAGATCATTGGGATTGTAGTTCTGAAGATGAGTGTAAATATCGGAAACGTAAACTTGTTAACATGTAACGTTGATAATACAAGAAATATATTCAATTGTTGCTAATTGGAAGTAATTATTGCCAAATAACTAAGAATTTATTATAGCTTTTGTAGAAAACATATTTCTCTAAACTTAACAATTCAAATACAAATCTCTAAAAATAAATGAATGGTTTGAAATTCGAAAAAAACTTTATAATTATATTTTTTCTGTTTTCCATTTATTTTAATGAAATTGTTCATCAACAATTACTGTTTTTCTGATTACTTTTAAAAACATTTTTTAATTATTAATATTATTCAAATTATATACCGTTTGTTGTTAGGGATACCATGATGGTACCATTTCGAGATTTCGATTTCTTCACAAAAAACTGTTTTAGACAATCAAATTATCGTATCATTGCTTGTTCGTTACTAAAATTAAAGCTATATTCTAAAAACGTCATTATAACTGTACCATTTATAAGTACTGAATGATGTGGCAGAGGAATCTAGGCGTCTATACCAGTGCCGCTTAGCCACCGATTAAGAGTATTTTTTATGTAACCGCTTCAAATAATTTAAAAATTAATCAGGGTTTTAATTCTTCTTGAATTAAGAGAAATTCTTCCAAAAGAGAAATATATTCTACAGTTATTTTATTTCGGAGCGCTTTTTATTGTTGTTGGCCATTTATTTACAAAGGACGCTTGATTTTCAAGTTTAGTTTGAATGACTTGAAAAAATGAACTTTATTGGTGTTTTCTATTACCAAGGCCATTTATTGTTTAATATTTTTTCATTTTTTATTATTCTCTAGCTACCAAGGGTTAATAAAAGGCCAATTATGACGAAATTAAGCAACATGCTGAATTTTAGTGACGGAAAAACAAGGCGTCAATCCGGCATGATTGGGCGCAATTTCGTGAAAGTTCAGCCACTTTTTTATGAGAGAACATTGACATTTTTTAAAATAGTTAGTTATTAATATAAAATAAATAGTTACAAGGATCTGGATCTGTATGCAATTTATTGAGATATGGGAGAAGGGTGCACGGTAGAGTAGGTCTGGTGTAACATACTTTTCAAAACACCTCCCGACTACTGTCTACCATTCCATTCAATGACTCATAATCTTTAAAGAAAGTCTCCAAATTCTCTGAACGAGGTTCAAAATGGAGTTATAGACTGAAAGAGTTTGAGGGACATCGGTTCATAACGAAAAGAGCACTATTGAGAAGAAATCGAAATAGTGAAATTTTAAAAGATCGATAGTTCACTTTTGGTTTTAGAAAAAAAATGTTTGACTATTTTTAGTTGTTTAAGATTGAATATAAACATTTTTTATCTATGATTAGGTTAAGAAGATATCTTCAGAAGCGATGCATATGACATAAGATATCTTCTACGAATATAAAGATATAGTCAGTGCCGGCCTTAAACATTCTCCCCATCTCAAGCTGTTTTATATTACGTAATATTTGAATTTTATTTCATTCAACATTTCTGTAATACAGTTGCTTTATTGATAGACTTAAATTAATGTTTTTAATATGTTTTGTGTATTTTTTTATTTCTAACAAGTAACAAGCGTCCCTGAAGATCGTCAGGACCCCCAGCGGGCGTTCATTCAGGTCGGCGCACCGGGGCAATCACTTCGGTTGTTACAATCTAAGGCTGATACTGGATATAATTGAGAAGAACTGTCAACAGAGCTTGTTCCTGCCCTCTGAAAGCTTATTCTCTTAGAAATTTTGCGTGTATTCCAGGAAAAGAAGTTGCGCTTACGTAGACCATCGTGGTGCCTGCCAATAGAAGAACACTTCTGAAGCTGGAACGATGCGCCTGTCTGGTAGGCGGGTGGTGTGAAAGTAAGAAGATCAAGTGACCGCTGCTAAAACACCAGAAATGCTAAGAGAAAGGATACGTCCAAGTGAGGCGGATACGTATGTTGGAGTGAAGATTTAGAGAAATTGCGACGTGACACCTAGATAACTTAAGACATAGGGTAACTCTATTGTTTAACAGAATTAGTCGCGTGGGTATCACCTTCTGGTTCCTATGATACTCAGCAATTACATAAATTTGTACGGGTGTTATACTGGGTATTTTTCCATATACTGTAACGTTCCTGTTACTGGAATCTCTAGCACCGACAAAATAGCAGCCTGGAGACGATTCAGCGTTTAGCTGTTCTGCACCACAAGAGCGTATAGATATGTATATCATATGGCGATCCATTTCATTAGCGGGAGGTATACCTCTAAGGTGCGAGAAGGTAGTATGAAATTTGATAGGAAGATACGTTACCTCTGATATACAACAGTGTGCAGGAATCCATTGCAAAATCAATTTTTCGCTAATGTGGTTTAACTTCTCAAGTTGTGATGCCAGTTCATCAGGAATACTATTTAGGCATTCTTATGATTTGGTAAAAATAGGATTGTCTGCAAAGAACACACAGTAGTCTTGCTCAGCACGATAATTAGTTGAGACGTGGTTTGCAGGAATTGACTTTTCAATGGTGCTTTCATCTGAGAATTCGAAGTGTATACCAGCGCGACCATCTTTTATTACCTCTTTGACCTAGTCATTTTTATATATCCGGGTCCATTCGTGGCTAGGGTAGTTCGCATTTGTGTAGTCCAGTCTGAGGTCTTTAATATCAGGGGTCAGCATACTTTCCTTGCTGGTTATTCCCGTAACATTATTGATAATATTAGGGCGTGGGCTTTTCCTCCAAGGTGACAAAAACTTTGTAGAACTCATACAAGCAGATTATAAGTTATCCATTTCTAATTCCATCACTAGGTATTTAGTTCTGTGGATTGCACTTTCTCTCCTTGCTCAACTGTTCCTTTAAGAGGGTGATATGCCATATACATAGCCTTCGAATTTAAATTCATATTCTTAATTGCGTCTGTGATTATTCGAAGACTCTGATTTTGCACACAGTTAATCTTTTGAAGGTTTGAGGGAACAGTGGTGTCTCAAATGGTAATCCCATATTCCAGTAATCTTCTTATTCTGTGAACAAAGTTTTAAGCGCTTTCTGTTCCCTAAATCTGTTCCCCAATTCGAGCATGTGATTTGTTTTAATAAGCGGATTCTTCGATACCTCTCTCATCACATACTTCGATCTACTTCTTTCACGTTAGACGTGGATCTAATTTGATTTCAAGGTAGGTAGGGTTTTCTTCTTTAGCCAGAACATTGTCACATATTCTAAGATTTACTTCCCGAGGAGTTTTGGAAGAGAACCTTAAAATTTTGTAGGTCGTTATTTGTTGTTCATTTTCATGCCTCATTCCTCAGTCCATCTGCGAAGGATGCTTAATGCTTCTCGAAAAAAGTAACTAAACAACCGGCACTTTTACTATTATTATTTTAATTGAAAAGTGAATTGTGTTAAAAAAAATCAATTTTATTTATAATTCGTACTCCAAAACCAAAAATAATTTAAAAAGTCTGAATATTTACACTGAAAAATTTGTGATATACTGGTGAAATATCTGAATATTGTAGCAGAAAGTAGTTGCTAGAGTGGTCTGATCTCTTAGAAACTATTTTAGATGTATTTGCGGAAAAAATGTCGTATTTTAGACTTATAGACATTAACTATTCGGATAAATAATTTTCACCGACATTTATGGCCAAAAAACTATAATACACACCTTCTATGTTGAATTTACCTATTTCGCAAATGCACCACCTCCTCACAACATTCTTGGATCCGGTACTGCCTACAAGTCTTAGTATTTCCTTGCATCCTTTCTATATCATGTTATCAGAACACGCACTGATATTGAGAATGACCACTAACATCACAAGAAGACCGAAAATATGGACATGACCAGAAACTTAGTTTTACCTAATGTAATGTCACTTAAGAGACAACCTGGACATTCTTATGACTGTTATGCTATTACTTCATCTTTGATTTAAATAGGCAAACCACTGACCTTTATGTTAGATAAAACAAGTATGGATATTTAAATAAAGTTTAAAAAATGAACCAAACTATTTTTAGTGATTACTTAATTAATAATTTGTTAATCTAGCTTGTATGCTGGCTGATCTCGTTGGATTGCAAATATAACCTGCAAGTAGAAGTCAGTTGTGCTTACCTCGTGTGGATTGCCGGTAGTTTAAAATTTTAGAAGTTATTATTCATTTAAATAAACAATGCGCATAGCTGAAGTAATTAACTTTATTGAAGTTCCAATATTATTTAGTGATCATAATCTGACGTCAGGGAATCCTATTTTTCTTTGACAATAGTTAATACGATTAGTCTTTCCTTTCTTTGTTAAATTTTAATATGATTTTTTCTCTGTCATGACTTTTAATTATTGATATCATGGTGTTAGCATAAATTGTTTTACTTTTGTTCATTTTTTTTCTCTTAGATTTTTTTTTTCATTGCCTTCAGTTAAAAATTGAACTGTCAAACTTCTTAGTTCTATCATTATTTTTTGTTTAATGTTAATTCTGAATAATCTTAACAGTGTTATAGCTCAAGAGGTTTATAGTTATTTGAATTATAGCTTGTTGTATCCATAATATTGATTTGTGATTGTTAAGTTTGCTCTTATGTCATAAATTAATCATAGCTTAGAAGTTATTATGTTTTTTATTTGGAATACTAATTGGAAATGCATTACAATGAATACTTAATTTTTGTTTTAGGTAGCTGGAGACAATCAACCAAATGATACTTCAAAGACATTTGTTTTTTATGATGAGGGGCACACTTTAGGCAATGCCTTAAGATTTGTAATCATTAAGTAGTAAGTATACATATTTGTGGTTGCATTCATTTCTAGTTACATTTATTTCTAGTTACATTTATATGCTTTGTTGGGTTTATTATGTGGTTAGAAGAAAATGTTTCAAAATTCAAACACAATTATATAAAAAGTGGCTTACTCTACCTTATGATATTAACGTATTGCCTAAAGTAATGAGTATATCATTCTTTTAGTTTTAATCTTAAACTTATCTTTAAGAAAACTATTATAAGAAATTAAAGTACTAGTTTTTTAATGTGACATCTGGTTGACAGATTGATCAAGATCACATTAATAATCTGTGAGCACTTGATAGAGTTGACAACATTTTTCTGTTTAGGAACTCCACTTACAATATGATCGATGTGTTCTTGGCCTCACATCGTTCTTATCTTAATCAAACTTGTGAACCAATACTAAAATGATTATTTATTCATGGTTAAAAAATAAATTGTTATGCATTGAGTTCATTTTATATATCTAATAATATTGTTGTTTTATTTTGCTCGTTTATCAATGTATTATCAAAGTTCCTGCTAGGACCCTTATTTCAACTTCTTCTGATGCATTTATATTATTTGTCATTAAACATCCTTGGTATGGAAAAGCTAACACTGATTCTATATTTTCTCTGCTAATGTCATAGCTCAGTGTTCCCATCTAATTTTTTTCTATTTCTCTATTTGAGAACAGTCATTCTTGCTTTCCATCTTAAGACAGCAACACCTCCTCAATTCCTTGCTTGCTTCTTTCTAAAATGACATCATTTGTAGTGATTTATTTATAATTGTGCCATTTTCCGTAACCTTTATGTTATTTACAGCTTTATGGAACACAAGGTTAAACTGCATAAGGGCTTGTGTATCTCCTATCTTAGTCCATTTTTTATTCCGATGGCCTTATACATCTCTGCATTTAATCTTATTTGACATTTGGAATCACTCATTTTCATCGCTTAAGAGCTATCAGTTTAGGTTAGAAGTGATTTTTTCTTCTTCCTTTGCCTACTTTACCTTTGACCTATACGTTCTATCATGAGCAGACCTAAAATCTATAAACAATCGCTATCTATCCATATTATATTTCCACATCTTTTCATCAATCTGCTGTAGAACAACAATTTTGATCTGTGGTTTATGTATTTTTTCTAAAACCATACTGGTATTCACCAACTACCCTTTTGTTATTGTACACTACAAAGATACAGCAACTGATACATAAATTTAGAAAACTATCTGGGGAAGGCAGAACAAAATATATAACCAAATGTTGAAATTATATAAAACATTTACTTTTCAATCTATTATCAGCAAAAAAGTTTCATAGAAATTGGTTATTTAACATCTCTTATAATGTGAATTAAAATGCTGTAAACGGTTAAAGAATTGCAGAGAAATTTTTATTGGGTAAAAGCTGCTAACAGAATTTTGTACAAATATGGAATGGTTAGGAGACTCAAATTCTATAAACACTAGGAATAAATGGAGTTAAATTAATAAGGTTAAGCTGTAATACATTGACACATCTTGTACAGCAGTCATGCAAGGAGTTAAACTATGATAGTTTTTTCATATATTTATTTATTAGTGATTTTTTACCAACAAACAGTTTACGATCTGACTGATCGCTAATCCTACTTTGGTAAGTTTTTCCATATTACTTATGTCTTTCTCTACCCACTGTCGTCTTACAAACTTTATTTCGACAATTAAGTTTATTTTACTAATTAAAGTTTTACTTAGTAGGGATGTAGTTGTTTGTAGATAATTTAGTAGATGTTGGTTTGTTGGGGGTTCAGTCAAAAACTATTTTTATGTAGTTTCACCTTTGGTTAGGCCCTCAACCAACTTCTACCAAAGTCTCATTTATATATTTTATGTGTTAAAACTTCTTGTTGATACATGTATGTATACCATTAAGTTCAATCGACTTAATGGTTGTTAGGGTATTATTCTGTTTAATATTTGATATCATTAATGATAATGTGTATCAATAATATATTTTGTAAATAATACAAATTTTTTATATTACAGCCCTGAAGTTAATTTCTGTGGTTACACAGTTCCTCATCCAGCTGAACAGAAAATGCACTTCAGAATTCAAACAAATGGAATAAGGGCAGTTGATATACTTCAAAGAGGGCTGGAAGATCTTGAAAAAATTTGTGAACATACTCTCAAAGTGTTTGATGTAGGTACCTCCATATTCTCTGTGGTGAAAATGTATTTTTGATTATAGAGTTTAGTGTAATTAAATTTTATTGGTTATTACTATCTGTTTGGTATATTTCTTCTTAATTGGTATTTCATTTCTAGCTATTGATAAACCCGTTAAATTGTGGGTACATTAATAAATAATATGGTTTTAAAAGAGATTTAACCTATTTAAAATTGTCAATAGAGCAGACAGATTGTAATCATTAATACCATAATATTACAGAAATCTGTAAAGTATACAAGGTATATCCAGGAAGTATGAGTTGTAGTGGGGATTCTCCTAATATAAAAAGCGGCGACCGTTTTGATTAATTCATGGAATTATGATGGGTGTACTCGACTATGCGTGCGAGCGTGTATGTGAACAGTTAGCTCAAAAACGAAAAGTCTTTCAAAACTTAAATTGCGTATTTAATGTTTTTATATGGTTGGGATGTGACAGCAACTTTTTCCTTAAAATCGGCTAACCGGAAGTGCCACTTTATATCAACGGTGAAACACATTTTTATAATTTTCTCAAAAACAGCTGCAACGATTTTGAATAAACTCAGTGTATCATTGTATAATTAAGTGGCTTTTAATATCATTTAGGTCTTATCCCCGTTGATGTCACTTTACAGGGCTTAAATGCCCAATATTCATATACGTATTCCTTTAAATTACCTTTTATATGGTTTATTTTAAATAATTAAGTATCTCTCACTATTAAGAGTTTGAAAAAATGTTAAATATAACTTTTGAAAGAATTTGATAATTAAATAAAGGAAAAAAAATAAAAATGCTTATTCAAGTCAAAAATGAATCTCCGGAAATACTAGTCAGAAGGTATATGTTTAACATATCGTTGGAAAGTGGAGAATTTTAGAAAAAACAATATATAATATAGAAAGTTGTAGAAGGTGGGGGAGAGTGGCAAAAAAATTATAAAAATTAATTTTTAACTAATAATATTGAATATAAATCACATGTTTTCATGTAAAGTATTTAATGTAAATGAAAAAGTATTTAAAAACAACCTAAACAAGACAAGGACATTGTTTAAAAAAACTTTCTTTGTATTTGTGTGAAAGAAGAAGTAAAATACAAAATCATTTCATGGATGTATAAAGCATATGTTTATAATCTTAAATACATTTACTGTAATTTTATAATTCTAGATCTGATATTATATTTAAATAATTAGGTATCAACGTCCGTTTATTCCGAAATTAGTGAATAATTTGATGAATCATCCCTTTGTGATATTCCAACAGTACCCACTACTATTCCATTTTACTTTTGTGAAAGAAGTTGAATATTTCGTAACATAAAAATATTTCACAGATACGTTTATAACATTAATTATATTTACTGTAGTTTAATAACTAGATCTGATATTATATTTAAATAATTAGGTATCTATGGTCCGTTTATTCCGAAAAATCATCATGTAGCCTTTTAGAAAATTAAATTAGTGAATCATTTGATGAAATTTCCTTTTGTGATATTCATTTGTAACAAAGTAAGTAGCATTGAGGATTTAATGAAGAATTTTGGATTGTAGGGATTGGATACGAGAGAAATTTGATGGTTTGGTGCAGCCCCATAGGTCAACTCCATATGTCCGAATAGCCCTTATTATAGTCATGTATATGAGTCTTTTGTAATTAATTGGAAGGTTAGAGCATTTGTCCTGCGTCAAGTAGTCTGAAACGTCAAGCGGTTTCTTGTCATTTCAGTCTGGTATGAGAATTCCAAATATTTCATGGATACGTTTATAACCTTAAATATATTTACTGTAGTTTAATAACTCTAGATCTGATGTTGTATTTAAATAATTAGGTATCTATGGTCCGGTTTTCTGAAAAATCATCATGTAACCTTTTAGAAAATTAAATTAGTGAATAATTTAATGAATTTTCCCTTTGTGATATTCCAACAGTATCCACTTACAGTTAGTGTGACAACTTTTGACCCATGAAAGACAATGCAAATTTCTTAATTCAGTTTTAATTAATCTGGCAATGGAAAATAACAGTTTAATAACTAATAGTCGTACAAACCATGATCAACGGGTTGTACAATCCATAATCAACTGTTGATATAATAAATAGGATTTTTGTTGTTTTAATGATATTTATGATTTGTTAGCTGTAATCTTTTAGCTTTAGCTCAGTTAAAAATGCAATTAAAAATTTTTATAATAGCCCAACATGACCAGAAAATAATTTATTTTCAAAGTTGAGCTGTAAGTGAAAGTTATGTGTTGCGCGCACCAGATTTTCTTTTTTTTTTTATAGTAATCACTCAATGTTAACACTCATTTTATATTGCAAAGAAGGGCAAATGTGGAATCAAAATTTTAGTATAATTGCTTTTAGACAGAAAAAGCATTTCTTCGCATCCACATGCCTCATTTCTATTTCAGCTATAGTATATTCTGTTTTTTGTGCATCATGCGGTTCTCTTCAGTAAGTTGAAGAGAGAGATATCTTTGATATTGCTTAATCAATGTTTTGAATACCACTCTGGAACTATGATCTACATTGAATATTTTATGATAATTTAATGGTTTAATGTATTTAATTTTTAAAATATGTATGGTTTTTGTTACAATAATGAGATTGAGCAACCATAGTGTAATAATTAAATTAATTTTATGTTTTAGGAAGCTGTTTCTGACTACAAAAGTAAATCATCTAAGGAAGAAACTGAAGCTTTAAGTTGAACAAAGGACTTGCACTTAATGTTTTGAACATTGTTAGGAAACATTTTCCAGTGTATATATTTCTTTTAAATGGTGATATTTTAAAGAACTGGTTCAAAGTTTCCATTTCTGATCCTTGATCAAGTTGTGAAAGTTGTTAATACAGAATGTTTTATATTTACTTGAGCTTATTAAGCTTAAAGTGGGATGGCTCACATTAAATTTCACATTTTTTTTGTTTGTTTAATTGTGTTTTGAAGAATAAATATATATATTTTTTTAAGATTCTTAACCATCTCATAGTAAATTAATCATGTCAAAATTAAATCTGAATAAGTTTGCTTCTGCTAAAAACTCCAAAATTATAACTAATCTTGGCAGTAAGTTATTTCAACCGTTAAATATTATTCCTCCAAATGCTACTGTTACTTCTGAGAAGTTGGCTAAGAGTCACAGGCTTATGGTTGATATGGGGATCATAAAGTCTACTGCTGCTGGCGTTTATCATCTCCTACCATTAGGTATTCGGTCTCTTGAAAAGTTACGGAATATAGTTAGGTTTGAAATGTCTGAACTATATGCACAAGAGATTAGGCTACCCTTTCTTGTTGATTGTAACCTTTGGAGAAAATCGGGTCGTTTAGATGCTGGTTTTGGCTTCTTCAAACTTAATGATCGACATGGTAGAGATTTGCTCCTAAGTCCCACCAATGAAGAAGCTGTAACAAATCTAATAGCAAATATTCCACAGCTATCTCATAATCAATTACCTTTATTAATTTACCAAATTTCTACCAAGTTCAGAGATGAATTAAAACCTAGATGTGGTCTAATAAAAAGTAAGGAATTTGAAATGAAAGATCTTTATTCCTTTGATGCAAGTTTGAAAGCTGCAGAATCTACTTACGAAAATGTCAGCAATGCTTATAAGAATATATTTGAAACAGTTGGTGTACCTGTAGTAAGAGCCGCTGCGGATTCAGGAGATATGAAGGGAATTTATTCTCATGAATATCATGTAATTAGTGATATTGGAGAAGACAATTTAATGATTTGTAATAATTGTTCCAATGCTTATAATACTGATAATTTAGAGGTTAAAGCATGTAGTAACTGCAAATCAGATACATTCTTATCTGTTAAGGGTGTTGAAGTGGGTCATACATTCTTGTTAGGCTCTGTTTACACTGAAGCTTTGAATGGTCTATTCAAGGCTAATTCAAATGTGATACTTCCTCTAGCTATGGCTAGTTATGGATTTGGCACGTCTCGCTTTTTGGCTGCTGCTGTTGAACATCTTTCGACTGAACAAGAGTTAATATGGCCTAAACATTTAGCACCTTTCAATGTCATAATTATAACTCCGAAAGAAGGAAGCAATGAGTTTGAAAATGGAGATAAGCTTGGTAGAGCACTTTATTTGGAACTTAATGATATTCCTCATCTGTATAATGATATAATTCTTGATGAAAGAGGCAAGTTGACTATAGGAAAGAGATTACTTCATGCCAAGAAAACTGGTTACCCATATATCTTAATTTTTGGTTCTAAAATAAATGACAATCCTCCCCTCATTGAAGTGCATGACAGGCGAAATCTTGCAGTACATCATATGACTTTTCAAGATGTCATTAGCTTTTTATCTCAGTCGGTTATATAAAATCCAGTATCATGTTGATTTATATAGTAGTATGTACCTTAGAGCAAGGGTGATGTAGCTCCGAAACATTTACTTACAGAATAATGTTTTTTCTAAAACTTTTCTACATTTTTGGCTTTTACAATGGGTGTATCCAGTAACTTTGTAAGTTGAATTGGTGGTCCTTGCAAAGAATTTAAAACAAGTAGGGAGAGGGGGAAGATAATGCTCAAAACCAAAGAGATCTAAACTGATCTACTTTTGTCAGCTCCCAGTTTACCTGAACCATAAAAGTTGTATTTATAGACTCTAGTTAATAACTTCAAAAACAAACTTTTAATACTAGTTACGTCACAAAACTTATGATACAGATATGTGTAGACGATACAAGGAAATAATGTTATGGCCTAATTGAAAAATTGTTATTTTGAAACTTGGCCCCTCTTGCTCTGATGTCTAGAAATATAATTTATGATGGATAAGTGATTTAACTATTAGTATGTTATAAATATCATCTCAAGAGTGTCAATGGATGTTTTGACTTCATTTCTTATTGAAGAGTGCTAAAGAAATGTAAATTTCTTAATTTTTCAATTATTTTGAAGAATTTCTTTGATTATTTTGTCCAAAAGTAAATAGTTATATGACTTATTTTAATCCATGAACTTTTTGAATAATATTATTAATAAATGGAATCTAAAAATACAATAGGAATGTCTCCTCTACTTTTAAAATTCACTTATTTTTATAACTACAATTTTTATCTGATTTGTTATTATTCATGAAATTAAGCTTTGTTTTGTTTGGTTATCTTAAATTATTTTTTTTTTTATAAGACTATTATTAATTTCATGTTGAAGTCATTTTTGTTTAATGATACTTGTATATATGTTTATACATGCTATATAATCTTAGTTATGATACATTATATTCTCAGAAATATGTTAATGTTGTAAAATATCTATTTTGTTTGATTAAATTATTTAAAAAAAATTTGTTTTTCTTTGTAGACTAAAAGAAAGAAAAAATCTAAATGTACTTTGTTACTAAAAAAGTTATTATTAAAATAGCAATTTATGATTATGTGACTGAAGTCATTTAGTTTAGTTTGTTTCTCTTAGTGCTACTAAATCTTCTTCATATTTCTATGATTGTTTATGCTCAAGTCTATAAAAATATGGAATTACTGTTCGATCTTGAGCATATACTTAAGATGTCTAAGCTCTTATAACTGTATTGTGAAGTTGGATATAATGTTCAATTATAAATCCTCCATGAAAATTGTAAATGTTGGTTAGTTATGAATAAGTAAGATTCTAATGTCATTTTGAAAAAGTAGAAGGTAAAATTCAGGGAGGAAGGATTTTTGAGTTTCTGATACGTATATATATATATTTATTTTTTTTCATCCCTAAGTATTCCTTGGTATATATGACAGAGCATTCCTACAACTCTGATATATTAAAAATATTTTTTGAGTATTGATAGCCCACCGAACACTGTAATCTACTTCGTGAAATAACAAGAGATGAAATTCTCACTTCTCTTTCTTTACCTCCTTCCTCTATCACTCCTTCAGATATGCAGTTGTGCATTACAAAATTACCTTGCTGAAAATAAACTACATTTGACCTAAACACGCCTAAAATTCTACTACTTGCACCCTAAAATCATTAATCTGCTTGATAGTTATTCACAATTCTCATTTTCGAGTTACTGACGTTACCCTGGTATAAAAATTTGCAGTCACCAAGATAATCAAAACCAAAAAAGCGTTCAGACCAAGTCACATCTTATAGATCTATCAGTCTTTTACTCTAATCCAAAATGTTTGAAAAATTGTTCCATTTCTTGAAGCAAACAGCATGATTCCTAATAAAAAATTTGGATTCAGACCTACTATACAACAATATCTTAGAATAATTGATAGAATTACCTTGGCATTGGAAAAAAAGGAAATTGGCACAGCAGCTTTCTTAGATGTCGCACAAGCCTTCGATTAAGTGTGGCATAATGGTCTTCTTTACCTATGACCATAATTACAAAATATGCCAAAAAGTATTTCTAAAATTTTCAATAAATAAATTTTTTAATCTGAGGTTTATACTTTAATTTCCATCCACAACTAAATTCCCAACTATATTATCTACTGTCAACTGTTCCTCCACTGTTAAAAGTATAATGTAATATGGGATATGAACAATTTTAATATTACAAAAATTACTACTCTTATTTCTGAAAATTTATTTTCAACATGGTAAAATGTTTTTGATTGTTTTTTATTTTGTTATTTATCAAATTGTTTTATAATTTCTATCTAGCTATAATATAATAATCCACATTTTTAAAAACTAAAGTTACCATAATCCAACACATGGACCTTTTTCTCAATTTTACTATTGCGGTAAACTATGTCAGTGAAGAAGTAGAATTCCTGAGAAGAGTGTTCCTTGTAGCAAATATTGGTGAAGTTTGAGCTTTATATCGTATGTTGGTGGAAATTCAAGTCTATTGTAAATTTCTAAAAATTGACTATTATTTTACTTTAAATTGAATTATTTTTTCCACTGTTATGACTTTCTATGTTAAACATCTTTCCCTAATAATAAATTTAATGTACAATACAAATCCCAAGCCAGATTCCACTTTATCCCAAGAAAAAAATGATGTATTGCTTTTATTTTTAGAAACTTTTTTATGGGAAAAGAAAATTGTCCTTTTTCTACGAAACAGAACACATTTTGAGATTTGATAATTACAATTTCTTTAAGCACTTCAGCAGGACTTTCACTCCTTTATTATTATCTCCTCATTATATATCCCATATTTATATTTGTCGTGTATGCATCTAGAGTACACATAATAAAGTATGGGTATGAATAAAATAGCCTTTCCTTTGAATGTCAGAAACTAAAAACTTATGTGTTAAGTAAATAACCTAATTGCTTTTCTGGTAAATCATTTGAGAAATTCCTTTGATAATTTTAAAAATGATTCGCAATTATTTGTGATTTTTTTCATCACCCTTCAACTGTACTACATTTACCTCTCCTTTAGAAAAACTTCCTGGTTTAATAACCTTTAAGTCCATATTAATTAAAATGAGATTTATTAGGAAAAAAATTGAGATTCACCAAAAAGTACTTTTTTTTCATAAAAAATTACTACAATTATCTGTTGCAAAGCTTTTACTTAGCGATCTGCTCGAACCCACACTGATACCATTCTTTGGGATGGCTGTCAAAGAACTCTTCGACTGCAATTTCAACTTCCACGAAATTATCAAATTTCTTCCCTTGAAGAAAATGGGCCATGAATCTTAATAAGTAGTAATCCAATGGTGTGAGGTCTGGACTATATGGTGGATGAGGCAGGAGTCAGA